AAAGATGTTTTCTCGATTGATTTTGTTTTCTTTTATGTCTCTGATTGATGATTGAGGATGAAGGTGTGGATGGTAGTGTGATTAAAAAACAACTAGTGGGGTGTGTGTTGGTGAGTCTATTGTCCATGACGGTATTCACATCTACAATACACACTCATCACCCATGTTCAGATATAGGCCTCACCCTCTGTAATCTACTATAGATTAGTCTGAGAAATTTCTATGAAAATTATCTCAGTGATCTGTTAATTCTATTCATGTTCACTTCGATTGATTCTCACCTGGTCCTATCGACTCAATACCTATTACGTTTAGTACCGCTCGCAGCTACTCAGATTCGTCCATGCAGAGGCGCGTTTTTGCCGGTCTCCATCCATATCCTTGTATTCATTCTCTTTATCTGAAAATAGATATGTTCTAAGATGACAATGGGTGTGGTATTTATGATAGAAAAAAATAGATACTCCACAAAGAACTAAGTTGCTAGAACAATGTTATCTATTAAAAACTGTGCATTCGTACCATTGATGATGAACTCTAAGCCGATACTTGGACGAGCCAATGGGAGTGAAATTGTTTGCACAGCAGTTACATATTCTAATGCCACCATTTTGAATACTTTTTTGCCAAGGGCAGGAAGTACATGTACAACAAATGAATCGTATTCTCCATTTTCATACAACAGTAGCACTGTTAAATAATCCACTAACCCGGTAGGTAGACGACCGACCATAAATCTTATCGCCGTTCCGACGATAGGATTTTCTAGATGAATGCAGTATCTACCAATGGCGTTTTCTATCGGTTGTAATAGTAACATTGCTGAGCGATATACTTTTTCATACACAGAATTCCACAATAATAAATTCCGCGCTTTGATTTTCGAACCAACAATGTTGCCTATGGTAATATCATAGCTTTCGAAATCAGCAATGACTATTTCATTCGAATCTTGAAATGTGGATATATAATTGGTATAAGGCAGATAAGCCAAGGCAGAACGATAATCTTCAAACAAAATACGATATTGCGTTTGGTTTTTGAGGACAAGATTCATGAAAGCGGCCATATATAGTTTACATATATGCTGTTGATCTTTAATTTGCATGATTGGACGAAGGTTCATAAACTGACTGACGCCAGAAATAAGATCATATCTTCCCCAAGCAGTATTAAACTGTCCATGATTAGCTTGATGTACGTATAGAGAAGCTTTAAACTTGTAGTCTCTAGTATTTGGTGTAAATCGCAAATTGGCCAGTTTTGCTTGGAATAGGAACGACGTTAAATCTCCATCATATATACCGTGAATAGCAAACATTGTTACATCGCGTAATTGAAGACTACGTCCTAATGGCATGTAATCATCATTCGTACCACTAATTGAAAATAGTGCTTTGATTCCAAAATTATAATTATTGAATGAAATATTCGTTGGATAATCGGGTAGGAACTTTAATTTATTAAGCAGATATGCGATAACTATTGCTTCACCACCACGTGAATGACCCATGAAACCAATATTTTCCAAATCGAATTTCTTATAAAATCGATTTGTTAATTGTTCATTCCATAATCTTAATTGTTTGAGTGTCTCTAATATCATGATTGCCCTAGCAACAAGTTCTGGTCCCCTCTGATAATCAAGATCATACGTGATCATTTGTAATAGTTTACCATATCCGATTTGACTGAATGTCGGTGCTGCATTTAAGAAGTTCATATCAACAGATACAGCAATAAACCCTTGACTAGCAAGCATTGTGCCCAAATACTCATATCCGATTTCGCTTGATTCTGTCGACAGGTGATTTCCATGAACTAATATGACTATAGGACGCGGATAAATATCATCATTAGCATTCGCTGGATGCCATATTCTGCCGTTAAGAGGAAGAGCAGACTCATCATACTTAAATACACGCTTATTGAATGCTGATATAGTGATAATTGAAGATAAATCGACCGTTGGTGTTATAATTGACGCTTTGATTCCATAATCCATTCTTCTATCGACCCCGCTGCCGTATGTCATCGATGAATACGAATGATTCCCGCTTAACGATGGATCATTTGTAAGATTATGTGGAAATCTTTCTGATGGTATAGTAACAGTTATTTCTGTATCAAAGCCATCTTTCAAGTAGTACCATAGCACAAGTCCGACTCCTACACATCCAGTAGTTGCTAGTATACAGCATATGACTTTGAATGCTTTTCTACGACACAGAATCGCTGCCACAGTACCACCAATGAGCAATGTATGGCTTGATGAAAATGCAATTCCGAGTCCAAAACCGGCGAGGGCTGAACGTGTTGTGATGGCCATTATTGACAACAAGAATGGACATACCATGAAGCTTCCAATAAAAAATGAACTACTACCTTGAGATAGTTGTTGACGAACAGAAAAACATTTTATCCATAGAAATTTAATGGCGATTTCACATACGTAAACTATAAGAGTTATTATCCAGACAATAGTTGACATGGAAATGAGAATCAGAACGAATGTTCCAAATCTACCATATCCGAAATCTATCGGCGACATAACGAATGCAAATAATAAAACTGTTAACATGCTCAAGCCAATACTTGTCATAAGAGTTATACGTGTCAAAGTATTCATTTTTTTCGGTAGTGAGCCCACAGTGTTCTGCTTCAATCTGATCCAAATTTGCACAAAATATATGACAATAATAATCAGGATTGCTATCATATTCAGTATTATTAAGATCATAAATTCGATTGAAAGAGTTCGCATATTAGCCACAACTGTAATCAATATAAGCAGCAAAATGAAGCATATTCCAATAAAGAAAACGTTTTTAATAGCGAATGGTGAATATTTGATTGGCGGAAGTTCATCCATGTGATTATCATCGCCATTGGTATCGCGTTTGTAAAATTGATTCGACATAATATTATTTATGTCCGATAAAAGTAATACGTTGCGATTAGGATATTTATTTGTTATCTCTCGTGGTCTAATATAGAAACAATTTTAAAGAAAACGATGTGAGTCAATGAAATCATGCTATAGTACACTTCTTCTGAAAAAGAACTTGTATACAAATAAGTCATCCACAATTCTAAATCGAATTGCGGATGTCATTTTTCAGAAAAAGAAAACAAAATTCGACTGTTCTAAACTCTGCAAAGGAACAGAAATTTCGAAATTTCAGATAATTGCTTTCGCAAGAAAATATAATTTCGCTCTCAGAAATAACTCCTTGCAGAAAGAAAATATAACAGTAAGAATCTACTTTTTGCATTATTATCGAACTTCAAAGAATGTTACTCGAACAGCAACTAAACAACAGCTGCTATTGGTGACCAACTCGGTATCTAACTAAGTGACACATTAGATGATCATTTCAATAGTCATGTGTACTTTAGATCGAGGAAGGCAATATAAAAAGTGATTTCAGCTGACTCAACTACCAGGATTTTTGCTGTTATCGACGAGTCCAGCAAACATATTATAATATAAAATGATGATATGATATACTTTGATGGAAGAGTTCACAAGTTTTGTGCTGAGTGCTGAACTGCATGGGAAGAAAGACTCATGTCGGTGACGAAATGTAGCATTTGATTTAACGTTCTCTAAGTCGAGTGTGGGAATATTCTGATGGCGGATGAAAAAAGCAGGGAGATCAGTGACAAAAAAGTACGAAATGGTCTGTACTGGGACAAATGTTGCAACATAGAGAGATAACGACTTTCCCACTCTTCCATCACATGATATTATCAGCGGCACTATGTACAAATCGTTTTCTTCTTCTTCCTCTTCTTCTTTCTCTCCCAGTTTTGTCTGGGATGACAGTAGGATGATAGTAGGCTATCAACTATTAGTCAGCTTCCATCTACTCATCATCACGCCTTCACAAACGACGATAGAAAAGGTAATGCCCATGAAAAGTACCATGCTTTAAATGAAACAAATCAACATTCACTTTTGAGTGCATTTTAATGAACATACGAGAACACACTGGAACTGATACAACCTTTTTATCTTTTATTGAAATCATTATTAGCAGCGAATGGCATTTGTGATCTTGAGAGAGAACAAACATCGATGATATTTTAACTTTTTGTCAGATTGTTACGACAAAACTAGTGTTTCACGAGAACAATTCCTCCCTTTACTTTTCTCATTCCCATTTCCAATGAAATGAAATGAGCACGAACTTAAAAACCTATATTCCAATTTAATTATCATAAGTACTATGTTTTTCATCGTCGTATTTGCAGGTGATTTATGTCTACAACATCTTATAACACCATGTTATTATTATCATCTGATGTATTCCTATCATCATATTTTTTTGGCTACATATTCGTCTATCCATTGGTGAAGATCTTGGTTCATAACAGAAGCCACCTAATTCAATAGAAATCATTCCACAGCACTCGACTTATGAAACACTGTATAGTCAATCCTTCTTCGTAGGCTTTTATGCTTTTTCTCAAAGGCTTGTATTAGTGTTTTAAGATTAAAAATGAAAATGTTTCATAATTGCAGGGTTAGAGTCTACACGATTATCGATTATTTGCGTCACAATCTCGAAATTCTTTCAAAACGCCACCAAAATCCATTTAGAGAGCTTTGAAAATCCCGTTAGCACTTTCACAAACTTCAGTATACACCTTTCTAGAGAATTATAGAATAAAAGAGACGTCCTCTGTAGCTTTTCGAGCAAGAAAATATTTTATGCTTTCTGGGAATCTTCTGCTGTCTGAACAGAGAGAAGGCGATTAATTGATGTGTTACCGTTTTTTCGCATTCTTCATTTGCCGGATTGAAAATGAAACAAATGTTCACCGTAATGCTCAAATCCAACGCATAAAAGATACCATTTTGAGTCACTACTATATAAATGCACCAATCACGGGTTCTTGTAGATGACTAGTTCCAGAAAAATATCTCAAAACTTCGGGAATGGTAACTGGAAAAGTTGTCCCTACAGGACACTAGGCAGAACTTTGTACGTGTAAGATATCGACTTTTCAGAAACAAAATGCGCTTGTGAGATTAGTAATGCTCTAGTATTGACATTCAATATTTGACCTTGATGCCAAGAGTTCGGCATGAACTCCACCATTTTTGTAGCTTTATTCGAATTTTTAGTGATTGTTTCAGCGATTATATAGCTTTGACATATTCGAATTTTATGCTACACAATTAAACAAAAGCCAACCACTGTAGAAATTGTGTCAATAATCTGTTCCCAAACGACGAAAGTCAAAATGTCAAAGGCAGAAAGATCGAAAACGCATAAGTCTTGTGGCAACTAATGCTGATGTTCATTTCTTTCATATTCTTCTAGTCTTCACTCCACCCCCAAGATATGTTCATTTTCAAGATTTTTTTCCTTCAGCGCTTTGTATCATCACATTGGCTTTCAATCTTTTTCGATCATACTATATGTATGCAATCAGGACTATCCGAATCGACCTTTATTTCTTGAACAACAGCAATAGCAACAGTAAGAAGATCAACGTCTCTCTCACGCCTCTTTCGCGCACTGCAATAATTTGTAGTAGTGACCTTTTTTAGCTAACAATTGAAAATGTGTACCACTCTCAATAATATGTCCATGGTGAAGCACACATATTAGATCAGCATCTCGAATAGTCGATAGACGATGTGCAACAATAATCGTAGTACGGCCAATCATTGCACAAGTCAAGGCCTCATTGACAACCTATAACAATCGGATCAATGTTGAAGTAAAGCCTCCGATCTCCCTTACCTTTTCATTTTCACTATCGAGTGCCGATGTTGGTTCGTCAAGCAGAACTACCTTCGGATTTCGAATCAAAACTCGCGCGATCGCGAGGCGTTGCTTTTGACCCCCCGACAGTTGATCACCTCTCGATCCGACACATGTTTGGTAGCCCTATTGTGAAAAAATCTGACACGTTAATAATAGGAGCGAGATGACGACAAGCACCTGAGGCAGTTGTTGAATGAACTCATGGATATTGGCAGTCTTAGCTGCTCCGATCATCTCATCGATCGTCACAGCTCGGGACAAGTCACCGTAAGCCAGATTTTCTGCAATTGAACCACTGAACAGGACCGGTTCTTGTGTTATAACACCAACTTGACTACGCCACCAATTTATATCGATATCTCGAAGATCTTTGGAATCGATAAGCTATTCAGAAAGATTCGAAAATGCAGTCAGTATTATTATGAATCGTGTCTGTATCATACATACCACCGACCCATTTAGAACATCATAAAAACGTTCGACAAGATGCAATACCGTACTTTTGCCGCTACCACTCGTGCCTACTAATGCAATTCGTTGACCTTTGAAAACATTCTCGCAAGCAATGAACGATCTGAGCTGATGATCTCATACCATTCTGGATGTCAAGATTGAAATTATGCAATATTTCTAGACATGGACGTGTGGGATAAGCAAACTCGACGTCTTTGAAATGAAGAGCACCAGTGAAATTCTTCTAAACAGTTGTCCAACTCTCATTCTTGTCCTCAGAAAAACTTTATCTCACTCACCAATTTCGATCCACCGCACATCACTGGAATTGTGGACTGTCGAGCGAACAGGGCAAGCATTCTTTGTGCAGCTGAGACAGCTTTGCCATAATCAGGTGCTCTAATCATATGAAAACGTATTCGATTCTTTATGAACGCATGCTCTAAGCATCACTTACAGTGCTACACTATGTCCAAAAGTTTGAGCCCCAAAGAGCATACAATTAACAATCCTATGAATAGGTCATTTACTGTAAAGCAATAGAGTCATGCTTCATCTTACATTATAATATTTGTGAATGTTGTCACTTTTTGTTCGACAAGTAAACCACCGTAAGAAAACACTGCTGCCATAGAAAAGAAACTAACCGATATTGTCAAACTGTAGATCAGAGCAAAAGTGTAAACTCGTTTGAAGGACGATCTAGAAACAAACGAGAAGTACTTCATAGATACTTTCTTTCGCAGCTTCTATTATACTTGTATGGAATGTCCAATAGATGACAATAGTCATTGAGAAGTCGCGATTCAATCGCCAACTGTCTTACAGTGCGAATATTCTGCAGGGCTTGGGTGGCTAACTACAAAAAGTGTTCAATAACGCACGGCTTTCCCGAGAAAAGAAAGACAATACAAACCGATCCGGCTGTCTCTAGCGTTTTACTATCTTGGTTAAAGTATCCGTTCATGAGATAGCCTTGTAAGAAGCCACCAGTTAAAATAAATGGAATAAAAACAAGAGCAACCAAGCTCAATTGCCAACAGAAAATAAACGCGATCAACAGTCCAACACCCAAGTTAGCAAAACTAGAGAGAATTGTACCGATGCGTGCTCCGGCAACCTATTTGCAATCAGACAATCAAAATTCTACAATGAATTTCTAGTCCAATGCAACATACTCCTTGAATCGTTACTGCATCCATTGAAAGACGGGTGCAAAGTGTACCGGTGTTATTCTCCACGCGATCGAACCAGGCCATTTCCTGTTGTAAAATTGAACGAAATGCTTTTGCTCGCAAACGTTTTGTTAATGCTTCACCCGAGCGGGCAAACATGTAATTCTAGACAGATTTTCATTTTTGACTTTCTGGTAAATTCAATGTATAAATACCTGAATGAACATTGTCATCGCAATAACAACAGCCAATAGAAGGTACAAACGAATGCACATTTGTATCTTTTCATTTTGTACTTGCCGATCACACCCTTGATAAATCTGAATTCAAAAGTACGTCGTTCAAAAAGAGCTAGTTCGTTTGTTTCTCTATGAATGATAATACTCCGATGGTTTCACTGAGCAAAACAGCAGACATTGGTTCAAGACCTCCATTAAAGATAGACGCCAAGGCACCGACTACAATGAGCGGTATTTCTGGTCGATTTATTTTCAAAATAGCTAATGATGGCCAACGCTAAAAGTAACAAAAAAGAGTCGAGCTCTTTGAGCGAAATCAAATAGCTCACTATCGTTTTCTCTGATTTATTTTTTGTAGTCTTTGTTCCATTCTGCAATACGATAGTTTCCTCATCCAATGCAGTCGAGTCACAATAGTCTTCTAAATAACAGAATCATTGTTGGAGATTTGTAAAAATAGTGTTATCATACCGATAGATGGTGTCAATTTCATTTGCGACTGCCGGTTGTCATCTTCAGACGATTGTTCAAACATTTCAGAGTTGACAAGAGCGTAGTAAGCCGATTGTCGTTGCATCAGCTCATGATGAGTGCCCTCCTCGATCACCATGCCGTTGTCAATCACAACAATCTTATTGGCATGAAGTACAGTTGACAATCGATGAGCAATCACAATTGTCGTTCGATCCTTCGATGTGTTCTTTAGCGCTTTTTGAACCAGCTTTTCACTTTGATTATCGAGCGCACTCGAAGCTTCATCCAATAGTAGCAATGTTGGTCTTCGGACAAGTGCACGAGCAATCACAATTCGTTGTCGTTCACCACCCGACAACTGTATTCCACGTTCGCCAACCACTGTTTCATATTTCTGAATAGAAAACATGCTAACAAGACTACTAATTCTTCTTTGACTACCTCAGGTAAAGACATGATGAAATCGTGTGCATTAGCTGCCATTGCAGCTGCTTGAATATCGTCCAAAGTGGCACTCGGTTGACCGTACTGAATGTTTCTGAAAATTGTTGTCGCAAATAGAGTCTAAAAGACGATGAAATCAGACCGTGGACCATAAGGAATTGACATTTACTGGTTCCTGGTTGACCACACCGATTTGTTGACGTAATGCTTGCAAGTTAAAATTCTCAATGGGTTCGTCGTCAAATAATATTCGTCCTTTTGTAGGTCTATAGAATTGTTGTAATATTTGTACGCATGTCGATTTTCCTAGGTAAAGCAAAGATGAACTTCGGGTGCGTGAATGCATTACTCATACCACAACCACTCGCACCCACAAGTGCTACAATTTGTCCTGGTCGAGCTTCGAAACTCAAACCTCGAAGAACGGATACATCTGGTCTTGATGGGTACGAGAAGAACACGTTGTCTACTTTGACTGTTCCACGAAAATCAACATTGAGCGTCTTTTCCTCACTGTCTACTGCTGTTGTTGTCGACTTCTCCTGAAATAGTCCATCTTAATCATTTAACATCGGACCGAACTCTGTACTTACCAAACAGATAACATCCCACACAGAAGCAGCAGCAACTTTAGCTTGCCCGATCGCTTGATAATAGGATGTACTTTGTCCAAGTGAAGATATCGCCATCACAACAGAAAAGAATATCTATCCATGAATGCATTTGTTAATATATCTAGACATGTATCCAACAACAAACAGACAGACCAGAACGACTCTTCCAATACCATAATCTTCACTTTGAATCAGTCGATTTCCATACCAAAAGGCAAGTGCATGAGAGGCAAAAGCAGCTGCATAGACAAAACTGGACACTAGTCCAACAATGGCGCCTCTCTTAATGCCCTGCTTTCGAGAGTGTTCAAGGCTTTTTTCATATCTTCGATAGAAAGAAACAGGCAACTGTCGCATGAATTCAAACGACAAGGTCTCACTTTGCTTGTTCGTATTCAACACCGTTAAAAGAAAGAACTGTGCGAATATTTCTGAATACTTCCTCAGCGATAGCGCCAGCACATTCATATGCTTTGAGTTCTTGACCAAATATATTTTGTTCTATCTATTGGGACATATTGATGGTCAAGAGAAAAACTAGAGATCAACATACCTTCGATGCAACAATTAACACAATCCAAATGGCCGGGGCCAATGAAAGTATGACTAGTGTCATCTTCCATCCGTGATAGAATGCGACAATTAAAGATAGAGCAATTTTTGAGACAAATTGCACCGATAAGCCCAATTTATCGCCGATGCCATCATGAATCTTATTAACATTGCTGAAATGAAAGTTGTTGAGAGCATAGAAGGATACGTATTCGTTTGTTCGAGCCCGTACCTGATGAGAATAGTACTTAATTCGCCGATGGTGTGAGTATCAAAATAAGTTATTTCCTTTTTGAGTAGAGCATCAAATGCTATTTCTCGAATCCGCCGTGTTTGACGTTCACAAGCTAGTGAACAGAAACTTGTTTGAAGAAATGCAAACACGACTGAAACGCAACCGGCACCTAAAGAAGCGAAGCAACATTTCCTTTGCTCTTGATTGTATCTTACAAACCAATCAAAGACAATGCCTGTCGATGGAGTTGTGCTCGAAACATTATAGGGCTAGTATCGTTTATTGTCCAAGTCAGATTACACTGGCTAAACGATAGTTTGCAAAGGCAATAACAGAAACTGAGGAATAATGTGTTTCGAAAACACCATACTTGATGTGTCGAAGATAATTTGCCGATGTTAGTAGAGTATCCGGTTGACAATATTGTATACTGAGTGCAGTGAAATTGAGTTTGCAAAAATTTGTTGGTTGACCAGAGAATGTTTCAATCATAGCAGAAAAGAAGAACAACATCAGGGGTCCGAATGCTCCATGTGCAAAGGCACTTAGCAGACCGACAATTAAAAGAAGTAGATCGAACTGGTTTGCGAATCGGAACTGAAATATAATAGACAATGTTCTTTTGAGCTAACAGTTGGAAAAGATCTTTTACCAAACTAAAGAATGGAACAGATTGCAAAGATCTTTCGGCTGCTGCTACTGCTGTTGATTGTTCGACATTTCTAAATAGTCGAAGTAGATCGAAGAAGAACCGAA